GTATAACTACCAAGACGCATACTTGAGGCTTGATAAGGAGATGACTTATATTGACTGATAGATGCTGAAATTGTGGGAACATTAAGATTCAATTATTTATTTATTTATTTATTTATTTATTCATTCATTGAGTTAGTAATTTATTCATTTATTTGATTATTTATTTATTTATTTATTTATTTATTGCTTTCGAATGGAAGCTTTGTAACCGCTTAAATTTAAGTTTTGGAATTTTTGTGTTATATTGACCCAGGATGATCCAAAAAGTCCGAAAACGCAATTTTGAGACCTCGGCCGTACAGTGTTAAAAATGTTCATCGTTCGAAATTTTTATCGTGTTCAAGTTCCACTGAAATTTTAGAAAATCTTGTCATTGAAAAATCAAATATTCCATTGAGTTTCTCTTCAAATGATCTGGAAATCAATAAAATACTTGATTTTTCAGTTCTATTATTCTGTGTCAAAAAAATCAGGAAAATTGAGGGAAAAATTTGAAAACCTGAATTGTGTGTGAATATTCATGTTCGACATGGCTATTCATGTGGAACATGAATATTCAGTTAATAATTGAGACTTAAATTTTTTAAGTCATTATTCAAGATGATTGAATGACGACTTAAAAAATTTATTTCGACGTCCTTTTGACCGAGTTCAAAGATGGAGGCGAGAGGAATAATCGTTATTTTCATTTATTAGCAAATTTGCAAAAATTTAGTATTTTTTGAAAATTAGGATTCCCGGGATATGTTTGAATAGCATACATCAAATGAATTCAATTATTGCTTAAAATGTTTGTTTTAGTGCCATTAAGTCGAAGTTAAAAGATAATTACGATAGCTATATATTGGTTGATTTGATTTTTATGGTGATTGTTGAGAATTTCGAATTTTTCATGAATTTCCCTGAAAGTGAGTTTTTTTGATAGTTTCTTCAAATGTGATGTTTCAAAATCATTCAAGTATGCGTAAATGAAATTTTGCTATCAACATTTTATCGAATGGCTGAGGGAGAGATAGAACTGTAAAAAAATAAACGGTTGCATAGAAGAAACGGATAACACGAGTAATGATGATGATCACATTTAACTAATTTGCAAAAATTGACAAAATTAGTGTAAATAAATCTTATTCAATTTAATAGAATGAAATGAATAATTAATTATGCATGATAGAAGGAAATGATGTGCAACATAACCATTGAGAAGCACATTGCTAATTTATTAGAAAAAATAACTATACTATATGTAATACAAGAGCAATGTCCCACTTGTTTATTTATTTATTTACTTATTTACTTGTGTATTTGTTCATTTATTTATTAATTTATCCATTTATTTATTTATCCAACAGTAGTTACTGATTGTAATAAGAAAGCCATTAGAATTTTTCCTTAAATTATCTAGATTCCTGAAAAATCTCCAATAAAGCCATGTGGGGGATTTCCCCATCGTTCCAAGGGTCCCGAGGTCTGGTGCCGGTAGTTTTTTTTTTCGCTGGGGAATCCTTTTGGAGGACCAGTGATTATCATTATCCGGTAATAAATCAAAGACTTAAAAGCGCCACATTGCAAACACAGGCGGCATGTCGTTCTAGGATTTTTTCTGCAGTCTTTACCGTCTTCAGGTACAATTTTTTTTTCATACACTTTTCTGTATTGTTCACCAATCCTTCGGACTTTCGAAGTGCACATCTGACATTTTCTGGAAATTTGGATAATCGGAAATCCCGTATAAGAAATTTAGTATTATTTACTTAATAGAAAATTTACAGATCCATATTATTAAATATTTAATTCATCATCAATTAGAAATTTAGATTATTAATTCTTTTAATATTTTTAAATTTCGATTGGTATATTTAAACCTTGATCAATGTAAGTCAGAAATTCTTTTCATATTGAAGATTCGGAAGATTAATGGCCATCTTTGGAGGTCCCGAATTCGGTTATTCATTTTTTTTTTATTAACAATGTTTTTATTTGGTCAACAAAACTATATAGATATATACATTTATAAAAAATAGTCCAAAAAAATTTTGATGTATAATAATGTATTTTGTATATAAACTAATGGTCAATTAGTGGTTCTCAAGTTTAGAGATTATTGTAATAGTTAATTCTATGTTTATGTTAACAAACTATATGTATTAATGCTTATTAATTTAACGTATTGTCAGATACGAACATTGTATATTTTTATTGTTAGTAATTGTGCCCAAAAAAATATTGAAATGAGATGCTTTATTTGCTTACAAAATAGCCCTATAGTAAATGCAGAGTGCAGGTGGTAAAGAATGTGATTTTCAATGACATGAAGATGATTTTAGTAATCATAACAGGGTATCGTGCCGAATTCGATTATCGATTGAGCTCAACGGCTCGACTAAACCATTTGAACTCTTGGTCACATTCGCGAAGTAAAACCCGAAAAGATGGTCAAGACGATGTAAAATTTGAATGCTCGTATGAAAACGACCTACTTTGTCGATACGAAGTTATATATACTCCGATAATATTGATAATATTCTGTACATTTTAAGCCCAAAATGATCCTGATAGGGTAAGAAATGACGTCGTTCGTGAAGATAAAGAAATAATTTGCCATAAGGTTTAAATGAAAGTCAAGTCGGAGACAAAAACATGAATATCTCGAAAACTGGAATCGACAACCGGGCCCTATTCATGTGGACGGCCATAAATATAGTTCAAGACAACGGTTTCAGCACCAAAATCATTCACTGAAATTCTCTGAACTTCAGAATTCTGTTGTACTGAAATCTAGCGAGCGAAAAATGAAAATTGGTCACAATTGGTGGAATTTTCACTTATTTCAAGAAAATTTTCCCCTGAGACTCCGAAAAAGAATCGAATTCTCAGTCCTTTTTGACTTAAATCTAGTCCAATTGTACCTCAATCAAGGCACATTTTTTCGTTCTCAGAATAAAAACATTAGGGTTTTTGAATAAAAAAATACACAAGTTTTCTAATTATGAATATTTTCGTTCTTGAATGGATGATTTTTCTAGTTCTGAAATTCATCTACACGCACGAACAAATTTAATAGAAAAACCTATCGAATTCGTTAGACAATTCTATTGAATTTCTAGATAGATCGATAGATAGATAATGTTTATTTAGCATTTTTCGAATACATTGATTCATAAATGCAGAAATTCTATTGAATTTCTATTAAACTTCCTATTAGTTTTTGGCTGATTCTATTAACATGTTCAGGAGAAAACATTTAATATAAAAAGTCAACAGAATTCGATTTTTCTATATAACTTATTCTTTTCATATATTTTCTATAGAATTTGCTCGACTCAAATTTTCTAAGTTTTTTCATTCTATTTTTATTTTCTTCTCATCAAGAAAATCAAACGAAAAAACTTAGAAAATTTGAGTCGAGGAAATTCTATAGAAAACATCTCAATAGAATGAGTTATATAGAAAAATTGAATTCTATTGACTTTTTCTACTGAATATTTTCTATTGAACATCTCAATAGAATCGGCCAAAAACTAATGGAACAGTTCAATAGAAATTCAAAAGGATTTTCTAACGAATTCGATAGGTTTTTCTATTAAATTTTTTCGTCCGTGTACTCATGTTCATAAATCTTTTATGATTATTATAAGTATATCACCTAACACCTTGACTCAATGAGGTTGGATCAGCGTTCAATTTTCCCAGAATTTTATACCTTACGAGTGTTCTTGGTACTTAATTTTAAAGTTTCTTCATTAACGATAATGAAAACAACAAGGTAGCAGAGTACACACTGTTAATTTACGGTTATTTAATATGGTCACGGCCCTTGGGCTTTTAAACATATCCGACTTCATGATTATGATATCAAATGACATTGAGCGCTGAACTAGAATATGCAGAAAAGAGGGAGTGAACGTTTTCTGCTACTTTAGGAAAATGTGGTTCAGGTAATCACAACTTAAAAAAAAATATTCATGATATTCATGATTTTTTGAAATTTTTCTCACACAATTTAATTGAAGAATTTCAGGATTGAAAGTGGTTGAATCTACAGCGTGGTCTGTATCAAAGTGAAAAAGATACTTGGATATCTTTAAATTGAAAATAATCGAAAAATAAATTTAATTGAATATCTCAAATTTGGTAACTTGATTCTGAAGTTTTCAGTGGCAGTGAGATGGAAATTTCACAACTTGATTGAAGTTTCAGTGGAACATGAATTTTCAATTTTTGCCCGAATTTTGCTGATTTTTCTGAATTTTCACAGAATAATTGAACTGAAAAATCCAGTATTATATTAATTTCCTGATTTGAACTGAAAATCAATGGAATATTTGTTTTTGCAATGAAAAGATTTCCTGAAATTGCAGTGGAACTTGAACACGATAAAAATGTTCGGAATTTAGCACGAAAAATTCAGACTAAAATGTGTAACACCGTACCGTAAAAATCATTTGTTCGGAATCGTAACAAATTTATTTATATTTAGTATTTTACCAAAAGTCAATTTCATGCCTAAAAAATAAGGTTTCCGAAATTTGAAACAAAGTCAATTATTTATTTATAAAAAACGAGTGTCAAAAAGAATAATAATTGTGTATAAAATATAATTTGAATGACGCTGAATATTCATGATTTTTTCCATTTTTTCTCACGCAATTTAACTGAAAAATTTAATGATTGAAAATGGTTGAATCTATACTGTGCTCTGCACCAAACTGTAGAAGATACTGGATATATCCTTAATGATTGCCATGTTGGTTCCTTGATATCTCCGAAAAATGGATTCCACTCCTTCTTTCCTCCCTCAAACCTCCCAAAGAATAACCTAATTTGCCGAAACACCCCCGATTCCTCTCAGTTCGATTCTTCAACCTGCCTCTACCTGCAGCTAAATGATCATCACCTCGTCATTCCGGTGTCCTCGACCGAGCGTTCCCGAGGTTCACCGATGTCCCACCGCTAACCACTGGCGGCGCGGCTGTCTCCCCGCCACAGTCGTGAATCGGCCAGCGTGACGACAACACTACCGTGACCGTGTGCGCAGTCGAGTCCCCAAAGCGCCGAGTCGCGGTACATTCTCTTTCATTGACGAACAAATAAAAAAAATAACCCAGTGAGTCAGTCAGTACCGATTACACCGATGTATCGGCACACCTATTAGATCACCCAGTTATCCAGTTCTGTTGAGTGTCAGTGCACCGAATAAACTCAAAATATCGTGTGTTTGTCAACACCAGTTGATCGTAAAGAATTGTTACTTGAAATTCTGGTTTGTTCGGCGAGTTTTAAGAACAAGTTGAGACGATGGCGAGTTTATGTGGGCGTGCAACAGCCGTTGCGATCCTCGTGCTGCTAAACCTAGGTGAGTGATCGTCGACCATGAGAAAATACACTATCTCTCTAGTTCCCCTACCACTTGTTTTTCTTTCATTACATTCCTTATCCGCGCGTACAACCGGATTCCTTCGAGATCGATAACGATCGATCGTCGTTAGCTCCATTGTGCCCGAGTGAGTGCAGTTTCGAACGGATGAGAATTGACGAAGGAGAAGAAGCACGAGAAACGTCAATCAAACATCAAAACAAATATTCAGTGGTGACGTCTGATGTCGGTGGAATATTGTTAGACGGGTGAATCGTTAATTTTTTGTTTGCCGAGGAAAATACCAGTTGAGGACTGGAAAATAACGTTCTTATGCGGTTTACGGTACTGTTGAAAAAAAATTATCTCATTCCTCCGTACGTGCGGATATTTGAAACGGACGGTTTCGCGCGTCGGGAAAGTTCGTTGGCCGTGGCGCCGGTTTGAATTTAACCGTCGGTTCTCGACATTCTCTCGCGGTGGATATCACCTTCAAACCTGTATATAAAAATCCCCCGCGGGCGAAAATGTGGGACTAGTTTGTGTGGTTCTGCGTGCGAGATTAGATTTTTTCCCCTGTTTTGTTTTCTTTTTTTTTTATTTTCGGAATGAGAGGCTGATTGTGGAGGTATGGACGGAGTTATTTATGCACCTGACAGCGCGTGGGAAAGTGATTCGATTACGCGGGTTAAAACGTGCGGAAGGAAGTGGAGTTCCCCTTGTCCCACGGGAACTCGGGACTATGGCAAACATGCACGAGGAGAAAAAAAAATTAAGAAATGTTGAATGAGTCGTGGAATTCTGGATTTTTTTGTTGGGATTCGCGTGGAAATATCTTGGGAAGAGTGGGTTTTCAGAAAAGGTGTTGAAGATGTTTTTGCGGAGAATTTTGTCAACTGAAAGAGGCTTTCGGCATTTTCCTGGATAGTTGATACACTGTTAGAAAAAAAAAGAAATTTCATGGACAGTTGACCACTAATTTGGAGGACAGTGACACTGAATGCGATTTAGGGAAAAAAAATCATGAAGTTTCACTGAAAATTCAGTAAATTTCCAGAATTTTAAGCAGCATAAAGACAAGAATCCCTTCATTGATTTCAATAGCGAAGTGGTAAAACGGTACAAGTCAATTCTGACTATTGGCCAATTTTCAAAGAATATCTCGGAATCTAAGGAAGATAGCAAAATTTTTGTTATAACCTTTTTTGTAGAGCTCATTGAGAGCTGCAACAAATGTAATTACGAAAATTTTGCTATCTCTCTTAGATTCGGAAATATTCTTGAAAAACTCAACTGGGAGATAAGTCAACTTAAACCATTTTACCACTTGGCTACTGATTTTAATTTCCAATCTAATATGAATTTTCAATGAAATTCGAAATTTCATGACTTTGTTCTCTAAATCGCATTCAGTGTCACTGTTCTGAAAATCCAAGAATACATTTACAGGAATTTTCTGGTTTTGTGTTCATTTTCAGGAAAAATGGAACTGAAATTGATAGTTCTCTTTTTTTTCAATGACGAAATTCCTTGAAATTTCAGTGGTAATGAAATTCGATAAAAATTTCCAAAAGTGTGCAGGAAATTTTAGACAAAAATTTTCAACAATGTAAACTGTTAGAAAATAACTCCTGAAATTTCAAGTAAAAAATCTTGAAATTTTCAACAATCACTCATTCACGCGGAATTTTCGTATATTTTGTTGTAAAAAAATCAGTTGAATCCTGAAGTATTCTATGGAATTGCAATTTTCACGTCTACATGACAATGAAAATTACTAAATATTTAGAAAATTCAAGCAACAATTTTTCTGAATTTTTAATTCACTGAAAATTCAATTGATTTTGATGTTCAATTTCCACAATGAGTTTGAGAATTCTAGATACCATTGAAATATCAGTGATAATATGACATGGAAAACCAAATTATAATGAATTTTCAAGCTTAACGACAAATTCCATGAACGACTTGATCTTAAATTGAATTTAAATTCACAACGTTGAGAATTCAAACGCAGCTATTGCTTAGATGTCAAAAATTTCTAGCTTTTGGGATATTTGCAAAATTATGGGGGAGGAATTGAGGAAAAACTAGAGAGCAAAAATTTCATTGTCGTTATTTCACGAGTAATAATAGTGAATTTGATGAATGGTAGTTTCATAATAATAATTTTCAGGAATAATATGGGGGAGTTGAAAAAAATCGGAAAACAAAAATTTCACGAGGATTATTTTGTAAGGGATTTGTGTTTATAGAGATCCCCTCCCCCAACTTCAGTCATTTTCAGCATATTTTCAGAATAACAACGAAGCGGTAAAGCAATTTAAATCGACTTAGCTCAGCCTCTGAGTTTTCGAGGAACATCTCCGAATTTAAGGGAGATACAGAAATGTTCGTAATAAACGAAACCTTTTTTAACCTTTTTTGTAGAGCGGATTAAGGTCTTGAAAAAGGTTATTTAAAAAATTCTGCTATCTGCCTTAGATCTAGAAATATCCATTAAAAACTGATCACTAATCAAAATCGACTTGAATCTTTCTAGCGCTTCGCTACTGAAATATATTGGGAGAATCAATTTTGAGAAAAATGTCAGTAGACATCTTTTGTAGAGGATTTTATATTGTACAAAAAAGGTCTCTGATATTTCCCTCAAACTGCAGATTTACCTCGTTTTCATCAGACAAATTGTAGGCGGGAAAAAAACCCGAAATCGCATGGGTTTTAATACGTGATCGGTGCGTCGGCTTTTTTCCCAGAGCTGTTTTTTCCTCCGGTTTTTGTTTCCTAGATTCCAGACAAAGAAACTCAAATCATTGAATTATTCCGTAAATATTTCCAAAACCAAAAGATTCATCAAGTAAAAGTCAAAGAACCTTTCTCGTTGCCCACAGGATTCCCATAAAAACATCTAACATTCTTCTTCAACCCCATTAGTTCCGAAGATTAAAAAAACTAATCCGTACAAAAAATTTTCCCTTCATCTCCTCCCACTTTCATTTCCTCTATGAAATTTGTCTAGTATAAAAATGTAGAAAGATCATAAAAAATATCTTTTAACACCTGTACAAATTGATGGCGTAATAAAATGCACCTGCCCAAGAGGCGCCGGAGCACCTTGTTCTGTTGTGGGCTCAGGGTCAACAATGTACTTTTGAAGGAGGCGAGGTCCTTTTCCTGCTTGAGGTTCCCATCATCGTCTCCGTCCCTAAAAAGACCCTGAGAAAAGTCAAAAGTGCATACCTGAAGTGTACAAGAGGCACTCATCATCCCTCCCATGATCTTCCTCCCTGTTTATTCTAGGCTCCAAGGCCTTGACTAACAGTTTAAATGAAGAAATCTCGAGGTCACAGGACTATTTGTCTTTCACTGAGTACCATTTCTGTGACATCAGGTGGTAAATTGCTCGGCATAAATTTCCACCTCGAATTATCCCTCCTTGACCCATGGGTAAAACTATACAGGTTATAAATAAGCACTGTCGTACCTGGGCGAAACGAGAATATGAATCATTATCTGCACGTCAAGGGATACGAGCAAAGTTGCTCGAATATTTATGGAAAAAGCCGCAATGAAGAAAAAAAAATAAAAATTCTTCAGAACATTCACAACCTCAGTTTCCATTTCGTCTGGAATATTCTGGGAAATATGGAATTGAAAACGATTCCATAAATCTAAGATTTATGGTATTTCTTCACTTCATTCTTTTTTATCTGGACTGAACGCTGGAAAATGTTTGACAGAATTTTACGGGTTATTTTAATGGATTTTTTCGCTGGGAAAGACTTTATTCGTTCAATATTCGATTTTCTCGAGAATCATGAAATCAAATTATGCAAAATTATTACGATGGTATTTCTATGGTGAATTCTGAGAAAATTCAGTTTCGAAGATATTCAATTGAATTTAGTTTTTGTTATTTTTTTTTCAATTTAAGGGTATCCAAGTACCTTTGACAGCTTGGTACAGACCAAACTATTCATTCAACCATTTTCAATCATCAAATTTGCGAAATAAATTGCGTGAGAAAAATTTGAAAAAAATCGCGGATATTTAGCCCCATACTGTGCAGAATATAATTCTGCACTAATTCTGAATTATTATAATTCTGAATTATTATTTTTTCAAATATTCATTGTTTACACATAAATAATTGATATTGTTTAAACTTTCGGAAACGTTATTTTTTAGGCATGAAATGGATTTCTGGTCAAATTCTTAATATAGATAAATTTATTGCGATTCCGAACAAATAATTTTTATGGTGAACAATTGATTGTTTATAATTTAATTATGTAAAATCCACGTAATTTTCAAAAATTGCAATTTTTAATCAATTCATCAATCTTCCCCCAACAGTAAGCTTTGTAATTTTGTTTTCAAATTAAAAAAAATGTTTTCTATCGGTTCACTGTGGAGATTCAAATTCAGACCTGCAAAGTGTAAACTATAAAATCATTGTAAAATACCCGTGTGATCATATTCAAAAAATTATTGACAAAAAATCCATTGGGAATTTTTGTTGACTGTTCGATTACAAAAAATTCGACTCCCTAATTTTGAAGGGCCAGAGACAATTTTGACCGACAAAATCAGATTCCGGAGGACAAATAACGCGGGAAATGGTATTTAAACATTTTTTCACCCCATCACTTCCTCGAAATTTACTAAACGTAGAATATAAATGAATAAATGAAGTTTATACCTAATATTTGGACAAGATTTTTTTTGGAAACATTAATAGACATTTTGATTAACAAATAAATTTCAAAATCCATCTTCTCCAGCATTTTTGATAATTAACAAGCGAAAATTTGGAATATTCAAAAAACTAAAAAAAAATTCATTGGGGATTTTCGTTAAATTGACTTTTCGATTAAAGAAAATCGACTCCCTACTTTTGAATGGCCAGATCCAATTTTGATCGACAAAACCAGATTCCTGAGGAAAAATTACGCGGAAAATAATATTTTAACTTTTTTTTCTCAAAAAGGAAAAAGTCT